CAGAGACAATCCTGTTGAGCATCTTCCACATCACTTAGAACTAATTTACTGTATTACGCTGATCGCAATAAACACAAGTGTCTTTGCATGTCAACATGGATATTTGAAACAGAAAATAAAGTAAAGCTAAAACACTCTCAACATCCCTGAGCTACCAAGACAGCAGCAGCTGGTGTACAGTTGGTGTAAACATCCTCACAACAGCCTATCTACCAATGAGCACAACCTGCTCTATGCCAAGGACCACAGCCAAGGGTGGAAGCACGAAGAGGCATTGTGGGCTCCCCGCTCTGAGCCTCAGAAACTGTGGCATGCCACAGTCAGAACAGCGACCTTGTCAAGCATAGGCCTGACATGCCGGTAGCCAAGAAAAGAAAATAGGAAGGCCAGGAAGTTATCTTAAAAACGAGATTTACACACACACACACACACACACACACGGAATAGCAAAGCAGCTGCCAGGGGGGGAAAAACACTAAAAGCGGTAAAAGAAATCTCCTAAGTGGTAGTTTCAATCCTAATCAGCCAAAAAAGGGGCATGCAGTCCTAAGTACAGCTTACAAGGTACTGTTGTTCTTTATAAAAATTACTCCATCATAAAAATAAAACAATACTTCAATGTGGATCAAGAGCAAATGTGTGGCTTTCTGGGCAAAGAGAACCCTTGTGTAGGGCTTCATCTCTGAGGAGTAACTACGAGTTGCCAACTCTTGATACAATTCGACTCTGCCCTGGCCTCTGCCTGTACAGACATACACTGGCGGAGAGAAAAGACTAGAAAAGCAAAGACAGCCCTGACTGTGATGCTAACCCTACATTTTGCATGGTGTGGTTTTATAGCCTCCAACACAATGTGGGACTTGGACTGTGGCTCAGCAGAATACTGGATATGCTAGCTTACATTCAGCCAAGACTACTGGTAAACAATCCAAATGTAAACATGCACACACACACACACACACACACACACACACTCAGACACGCACACATACATACACACACACAGAGACACACTCATACACACACACTCAGAGACACACACACATTCAGAGATACAACAAACACACACACACACTGCACACACTCAGAGACACACACACATACATATACACTCACAAAGATACAACCTACACATACATACACACACACAGAGACACACACATATATACACACATACACACACTCTGACACTCAGAGACACTATTACACTCAGACACACACATATACACATACACTCAGAGACACACATACATACATTCAGAGACACACATACACATGCACAAACACATATACATACACACACAAACACAAATACACTCACACACACACACATGCACCTACAATCAAGATATAGTGAAGCAGCTGCTAGGAAAAAAAAATATTACTACTTACAGGACAGTCACTCAATTTTTACTAAGAAATAACACTATGTAAGAAATATTAACACTACTTTTTATCACTCTAAACAAAAGACCATTATACCTGATTAATAATTTTTCCTTGATATTCGTGATTATTAGAAATTCAATTTTATCTACAAGGGCTTGATTACAAAAACTAACAAAGTATTCTCTAAATAATGAAAAGAAGACTTAAAAAAAGAAATTAAGTTGGTCAGACATATTTGGTATTAAAATTTTATTCTGCAGGAAAAGCAGCCCATAGGTGTCACATGGCAACCACCTAGCAAATCCACTCCCCAGGGCCTCCCTCACAAACACACTCAGCCAGTCTGAAAAGCAGCAAGCGTGGCTGCATTTTGAAAATGTTCTCTGGTGATTCGTACCCTTGCTGAGGACCAGTGCCATCCAAGAGGCATCCTTCCTTATCCACTGACTGACTACAAGCATCCTAATGGGCTCTGCTGCTGCTGAGCTTTGTGAGAGCCAGGCACACAGCCATTAGCAGCAAAAGGGAGAGGTCCACACCCCAGAACCTACCCTAAAGAGACTGTTAGAGGTCTGGTAAAAACTATTCAAATGACATGCGACATATTCCCAAATATTCTATACATGTTTATTTTAAAAAGGGTGCCTTAAAGTCTATAAAATATATAGCATATAAAAATAATTTCTGTATTAATCCAACTCCAACACATACATGGTCCCTTAAAAGATTTTCATTTCATCATCAAAAATGCACCTTAGCTATATTTCATAGTACTTTCAAAATTCAAGAATTTTTAAATTTTCTAGTAGAAAAATTTCAGTAGTCATCTAAGTAAAACAATAAAGCTAGGAATGATGCCAATAATACTTGAAAATATAAAATGTCTCAGCTGTGCTGTGTATCCTAGGAACCATCTTCATACTATGATAATCCCAAGTAGTTGCACTTCCATTTAAGAAAAAAAAAAAAAAAGCACAAAAATAATTCATAGAAAAAACTTAAGTTGGATATCAAATGAAATATCTGAGGTTCAATTCACAATATCGTATTTCCATATCACAATGTAAACATACACTCTTATGAGCTAGCAACTTCAATGACACCAGTCATTACTCCAAGAAGATAACGTAAAAAAATTCTCAGTGCAGAAATCCTTATCAACCTAGGTTGTTATAACAGACTTAAGACAATTTTAATAAAAATCACAATTTGAATCCCATAATATAAAATGATCCTACAAAGACTTTACATTAAGATTAAAAGCTTACAGCAGTAGCCAAGTTTTCCTTTTGTTCCTATTCTCTAGTAAATGCTTTCCTTTGATTAGCTTTTACAATGTCATCCGGAGATGCTGATTTGAAGTCAAATGGCGTTATTGCTACAAGAGGACTTATTTCTTTGTCTGACACATCTTGAACTTGTCTACTATAAAGGAAAGTCTTGTAGAGTTCAAGAGTGTGCCTTTTGCAGCTTTTCACTGGGTAACGAAGACACAGCGTTGAAGCAAAAGCTGAAGGCCTAGCAGCAAGGGCCTTGGTCCACGACACAGACAAAGGTGCTTTCCTAGGAAGAGAGCCCTTTTTGTTTTTCTTACTTTCCTTAGTAGAACTGGAATTTTCCCCTAACTTTGAACTTAGAACTTTAGCCTCTGGTATTGTAGCAACTGAGAGGTCAACTACAGGCTTTGGGACAGGCTCTGGAGTTTTTATCAGGACACTAAGATCGATATTTGAATCAACTCCAGGACTCCTCATTTCAGATAAACTAAGCTCAAAGGAGTCTCTCTTAATCTGAGAGTTGTCTAGTTCAATCGATTTTGCAATCAAATCAGAAAGGGACAAATTCTCCAGGTCTCTTGTGGGAGAAGCTTTACAAAATGCCAATGAAGACAGAGAGCCTGTTAACTCCGATACTGTGTTGGAAACCTGAGAGCGGTCTGCCAGGTGTGCCAGGGGAAGGGAGCCCAAGCTGGCAGATGGGCTACACAGACCAGGCAAGGTGAAGCACTGGCTGCGACTGTTCTCTCTGTGTTCCTCAAACAGGTCAGCCAGCGACGGACTTCCACATTGGGAAAACAGTAAGCTGTCATTTTTCACAATATTATTCTTGGCACCTTGTCCAAGCTCAGTGCTTATATTGGAGTTAAAATTGTTTTCAACTGGGCTAGATAGGTGCAATGGGTTATTTAAAGTTCCCAAGATGCTCTGCATTGGAATACTCCGAAAATCAGGTAGTGAACTGCTCTGAACACCCAAAGAACCACTAGCTGCTATGTTCCCCCGCATTAAGGACTTTAAGTCTGGTATTCCTTTGAGAGTAAAATCATCTTCAGGAGCACACTCAGATGGAGGAGGACGCAACATATCAGCATCTAGAGTCTTAGGGAGCTGGCTCTGTGTACTGTCTGAGGGTGGCAGTCTGACTGATGGCTGGCTTGCACAGGAATCTCTTGGCATATCATCAATCAGGTGAGCTAGAGACAGCTCTCTTGTTAACTTACATGATTCTAGTTCCTTTTCACTTTTGGGTCTCTCAAGTTTCTTTTTTCTATGAAGTAAATATTGACTTGGCACAAGTGAAGAACTGTGTGATCCATATTTTGCTACTGAGCTACAACAATCAGATTTGCTACTGCTATCCAAGTGATTTTCTGATTGAGAATAAGACTGTTGAACAATTTCGGGTGAAACTTCAAAGGAAGAAAGTAAGACTCCTTACCTTACAAGAGCCATTAATGTTCAGACAAGTGAGTTGACATTCGCAGAAGGCAGTCACAGCAACCAAAAGGAGACATGAAATGAGGCATTTAATTACTAAGTGCTTCCCTCGATCTTGACATAAGTAAAGCGATACTTGTTCAATATGAAGGAATAATACCTCTAACAACCTAAGGTGACCTTCATACTATGTTCACTGGAGTGTGTAATGGTAAGTACCTATGTTCTAATTGTCATGAATTTACTAAATCATCAATTTCATGAATGTGAAGCTCTGTCATAGTGCAATTATCATGATTACCTCATTAAAACTTCTTTAAAAAATGTAAAAAGTGGGTTGATTTTGTTCTATTTTTAACACATTAAAAACAACAAGCAAATAACAGCTGTGATTTTCTGTGTTCCAGGGACCATCATCAATACAGAAGACATCATCATCATCATGATCAATTAAAAGTACATGCCTTTTGATGCCTAACATCAATTAAAAGCCCCTTCCCCACAGAAACGCACTGACTTCAATAAGCTGTATGTAATTTTGCCGAAGTCTGCTCCCAAAATTGAAGGACATACTAATCCAGTTAACAAATGATCATACTCCCAGTAACAGAAATCATGCCAATTAATACAACTGTACGTCAGTTGTCTATGTCCACAAAATTCAACACCCCAAAACCTACACATTTAAAACTAAAAATCTACTCCTGTTTTCTTACATGTTAGCTAAAAATCAAAGTGTGAGGAGTAGAACTTCAGTACTTACTATTACTTAATGACACTTCGATACCATGAAATTACAATTACCCATGATGTAAGTACAGAGGGATTTTTTTATATTAAGGACTGGGTTCACATCTCTGTCTCATCTCCTTAGGATTAAAAATGGCAACAGTTCAATAAGAAACTAAGGAAAATGTTCTCTCTAATTCTGTTTCCTTTGTGCTGTTGTTACACAAACACTGAAACAGGAAGGGTGAAAATTCCCAAGCCAGAGGCTAGAGTTGGATCAGTGGTGAGGAGCACTGGTCCCACTCCTCCTGCAGAGGACCCCAGCACCCACACACTGTGTCACATCTACTGACTCAAGTTCCAGGGACTGGATACCTTCTTCTGACCTCCAACAGCACTGCACATGTGGCGCACAGATATAAATGCAGGCAAAATACTCATTCATACAATACAATAAAATTTCAAAACTTAAAAAAACTGCAAACTAGAAAGCCAATTGATAACAAGTGAGCTAACTAAAGCGTCCAAGCACCACAAAAGGGCTGAAAGAGAGCGCAAATGAAAGCATACCTTTTGACAGCTTTCCTGCAGGCACAGCTCTTTCGCTCTTCCCCTTCAAATTCTGCACACTCTCTTGTTCCAAGACCATGGACAAAGCCTTCTCCACATCAAACTTGTGCTGCAGAATTGCTTCAGTCAATATGTCATCAGGCACAGTATCCCCCAGGACCTCTCTCATGTGATCCAGGCATGAATAAAGGTGAGCTAGAACAAAAGAGATTAAACAGCTGTACTATACAGCATCTTAAAAGAGCTCTAGATCTTCTCATTTGCCCAGAGAATTTTAATTATACTAGGATATTCAAACTTTCCTTTCTTTGGTAGAAATTATTTGTAATGGTTATATTTTTTCCTATGACGTAGCTGTCTTCTCACATCTCATTATTATGAAGAAATCAAGGTAATCAATGTTTCTGAATAACACCTGGAAACATATATAGACGAGTATACAGTAACACCCACTCTTGGTACAGGATGAGGTTGCACTATGTCTCCACAACAATACTGCCTACTGGTAAAAACCACCAATGGGCAGAGCTGAGTGGCGGGTCAGAGGGCGGAAGCAGGCACACTTCTCCCAAGCACCACGCTGGGCAGGTCAGATCAGGCCAGAACTCCAGCTCCAGAGGATCCAATCAATACCCTCTTTGAGGTCTATAGGCACCTCGATCTACTCATGTGCACATGCCAACACAGACATATACACACAATTAAAAATAAAACAACTTTTTATAAAAGTACAAATGGAACACTAACATTTGACAGTGATGGTGGAATTTATAGCAATCACTTCAGCATGCCTAGAAAAGGGAGAGGGACTATGAACTTGGAAACCACATACATGACTTGGTGAACCCAGTTCATCACTAACTATTTCTTACATGTCAGAAATTACTACTTTACAGGTTTTTTTCAAATTAATAATGATCTTTGCAGAGCCAACAAAAATCATCCTCTAAAGTTATTAAAACAATTTAGCATGAAAATCATCAAGTCCAAAAAATTAAGAAGAAAATGAACATTCATTTTTAGAACCATATTTAAACCTGGGATTCTGTTGGTTAAAGATTATAAAAAGTCAGTATAAAAAGTTAGTGTAACACATATCAGTCTTCATATACTTAAGAGTTAAAAATGGGACAAGGTACCTAGAGGCTAAAGAAAACAAATCCTCATTCAGACATTTACAGCACTTGAGATTTTCACATCGAGCATCTCCAGTCCTCAGGGGACTGTGTTTGCCAGGCATGTTGTAGTGCAAGCTTCATGCACCCCAGGAGCTCCGATGCTGAGCATCTTATTTGAGGCATTTCTCATCAAGGCTCCCTCTGTAAATGCTGCATTGCATGCCTCGCTGTGCTTTTAATTATTAAAGTAAATTCCTTAAATACCAGGAAAATCTTTTCTACCTCTGTGTAAGATTTACTTTAAAAGGCTGATAGGCTTTTCCTGTTACTAGGGAATTAGTATGTGTTGGATTAACACATGAATTATTGAAATTGAAAGACAATACTTGCATAGCTAGCATCAAGAGCTCTAATAATAAGTTATAGGATCTAATCTCTAGACAACCATAAAGAGAAAGTATACTAAAGGGGGTGAAAAGTAGAGACTATGCAGGTAGGTTGGTCTAATTAATCCATATCCTATTTGTGTCCCTATAAAATAAAACTTACTAATAAGGCCAGTCATATTCAGTATGTTAATACAGTGCCTGCAAAGCATTAGTGAAAGTGGAACACACATAAGCCTGTATGTATGTAGTTCCCTGTCAGGCCAGAGAACCAGCCTTCTTCCTCAATATAACTTGGACTTTTGTAAGTCCTTAATCATTGACTACGGAAGCACAAAGAACTTCTACTCTGCTTCTGCCTTATCCCTCAAGACTATGCTAGGAGTACAATGAAACACTCCAAGTGTATACACTAACTCTGCAATCCACCAGATGTCCAAGTGAATCTACAGAGTTTGACAAATAAAATTTAATTTCTTCTATCTTTATTGTTTCTACATTCTAATTTTATATATTTATGTCTTCTTTCCATTTATCCTGATTTTGTTAGCACCTGGCATTAACAACATATTTATTATTTATTTCATCTGTAATGAGTGTTCTGCCTGCATGTATGTATATGCATCAAGTCCAAGCGTGGTGCCCACAGAGGTCAAAAGAGAGTATCTGATTCCCATGAAACTGGAGTAATGGATGCTTGTGAACTGGACCCAGGTCTTCTAGAAGAGCAGCAAGTGCTCTTAACCACTGAGCCATCTCTCTAGCCCCAGTAGTTGGTGTTTAATTAACATTCAAAGATCAGCTTACAGACTCTATTTCTTTCTGTTTCCAGATTAATTACATATAAACCTACAAGTTAAAAACATGTATGAAAAACAATTCAACTGCAAAGGAAGTGCAAACCAGCTCAGCCTCACTCTTCATAAACAGCATTGCTCATCAGCTCAGCTCTCTATCCATCTACGGCTTGAATGACACCTGAAGCAATGTCAATGTGCAATTTACTTGTAAAAGAAAGCCAAAATATAGCCTTCTCAAACGTTTAAAAGAGTTGAAAATAAGCAAACAACCAATGCTGTTACTCTTTATAGGTTCTACCTTGAAACATCACTCACACGGACATGACCACCAAAACAGTTGCAGGCTGTTACTCTGGTCTTTAATGCCTTTTTCCTTAAGCTTCTGAGAAGCCATCCGTCTTGTAAATAAAGCAACTCCTATCACTTAATCATCAGCTCTACAAAAGCTTGTGAACAAAGATTCTTAAAATTCTTTTAACAAATACCTGGACTTTTTCTTCCATGTAAAAGATGAAAGAATGAGAAAACTCAGAATCATAAATCCTGTTACTCAACAGCTATTATGCTTAATGTAATCAATATCTCAATCACAGAGACTTCTCACAAAACACATAAGACAAATTTTCCTTCAAAGTATAAGATATGCTTGTATCATTGCTGTCCATAATCATGACTATGAATAACTTCAATAAAATTCACAAATCCTTACTTGGCAAGTAAACATTTTCCGCTAATGAAGACATGTATTTTTAAGAAGGCATACCTTGGTCAATGTCACTCAACTGGTGACTTGAAGACTCTCTCAGATCTTCATAGCCGTACTCTTCTACTGGGTTGTCACGTCGAGAGTAAATAAACTGAGCAGCTGGAATGAAAACAAGAAGTGCTGTAACACAGCCAGTTCCCAAGGTTTCCTCACGCTACAGCACAAGTTATGATAGGGAGGGGCCGTAGCTCACTGGCAAAGTGCGCCCCTAGTATGTGTAAGGACCTCAGCTTGATTCTCAGTACTGAAAACAAAAGCCAAAAACTGAAAATTCTGAGGCGAAGCAGATGGCTCGGGGTTAAGAGTGCTGTTCTGCAAGCATGGTGATCTGACTGTGCATGCTCATGCAGAACATGCTGAACAGCAGCAGGGCTGCACATGCCTGTAGCCCCTGTGCTGGAGGACAGAGAGAGACGACCCCCAAGAGCTAGCCAGCCAGCGGAGCCTCAACAGCAAGTGTACAGCTCAGTGAGAAACCCTGTGTGAAGGCACTAAGGCAGAGAGAGGAAACCCTGAGGATGTCCTGGTCTGGCCTCCGCACGCTCATGCACAGGGAAAGGCATCTGCACACCTGCATGCCTGCATCACCCACTCACTCACTCATGCACACACACACGCATGCTTACACATTTACATACATATGCACAAGCACACTCAAGCACGCACGCAGGTGTGCACGCACACAAAAGCACAGCACACACATGTACATACTCGCACACACGTATTTTCATACTCACGTGCACAAGCACACTACACACACACACACTTTCACACACACACACACACAGGCATGCACAAATTTGCATACATGCATACACAGCACAAATAGGAACATCACTCACAGTGGTCCATATTTGACAAGAGTGATGAAATTAGAAATATTCCAAGATGATAGTTCTACAAAAAGGTCCTTACGACTAACCACTCAGTAATCCCTTACTCGTCTTCCTTCTTTCCCCTAATCTCCAAGACCATTCCATTAAAAGTCTCACTAGACTTTCAGGGCGAAGCAGAAGTTATGACTTGCAAGCTCCTGCACCACCAGCTAGAAGCCTCTGTTTCTGGGGCGTTCCCTACTGTCCCACCTTCCCAACAAAAAAAAGAATCCAATGTCAGACTCGCAGACTCATACTATGGCCACTGTTCTAGATGTCCTTGCTAGTGGTTCAGACGGCCACGGAGGTTAGCAGAATAAGGAATCAAAGAGGCTGAGGTCAGGCAGGCGGCAGAGGGTCAAGGACACGGGCAGCCCAAATCCTGAAGTTGAAATCAAAACCCAGCGGCAACTACTACAAATAAAAATCAAAGCAGAGCTGAGAAAGTAACAAATGTACAATACTTTCCCTTAAAATTTTAAATCTCAAGTTCCAGGGCATTTTCTGAAAGTTTCCCATAGTAAGTTTTAAGTTTAAGAATTCTGACATGCTTGAAAGTCCAAGAATTCCAAGTCCAGAACCTGCCTGTGATCAACTCGTAAGTGCTTCCACATAGTAACTTTGTGTGCACATTAAAGACACAGCTCTTGGCATCTTCCCTGGAGCATCTGATAAAGTGGCGCTGGAAAATAATTCTCTGTTCTTGCACCACACCAGGGAGGCTTAGGGAGGCCTAAGAAACACTGTCCTGCTGGCAGTGCTGGGGCATACCTTTGATCCCAGTTCTTGGAGGCAGGGACAGGTGGATCTCTGAGGTCAAGGCCAGCCTGGTCTACAGAGTGAGTTCCAAGACAGCCAGTCTAGTTTGTACATCATCATCCGTCACCTGCTACCCGATATCTCCTTCCCGTTCAAATACCTCCAGTCAAAGCTCACACAGACATAAGATAAAAAAGACCTTTCACAACGGGTTCCCACTTGCCCTCCAGTTTTCTCTCACATTGTAATTTATATGAATTTCGTGAGTCTCCCAAAACAAACATCACTCAAGAGTCGCTGTCACTGCTGGACCTACATGCTCCCCAGTTCTTCAGCCCCACTCAGCCCTCCTGCCGAGCATGCTCAGACTTAGGACAGATTCATTCTCTACCCTCAGACTACAGCAGCACACTGTCAGAACAGGACCTTACACAGTAAAAAGAAAAAAACAAACTGTTCTGTTTACATGCAATTGATGCTGAGTAAAGGTTTAGAACTAAAATATATCAAAGGACTACTTCCATTTGCGCTGGCTGAAACAAATCCACTATTCAAGTTGCTTTTCCTGGTTCTTTGCTATGAGTGCCCTGACATGCATTCAATAATCAGTATGGAAAATTTTTCTAGAGTAAATTTTTAAAGAGTCGCATTTAAAAAAAAATCACCTATCGTCAAGAAAAGTATGCTTAGAAATCAAAAGTACATGCACTGTGGCTAAAGCTTAGAAGTTTCTATTAACTGGGAAAGTAACTCAACTCCAGGCTTCAGTAGACCACGAGTGTAGTCTGTTTGCCTCCTGAATGACTAGAAGAAGGTAGACTTAGTATTCCATTTAGCTCAGGAGGAGAAGCACTCTTGTAAAGAGTATGCAGGCACTGAGGCGCCTGGTCTTGGCTGTGGAAGAAGTCTGTGCACATGTCTGTGAGCCGTTTTCTTTACCTAAACTCTTTCCTCCCCATCTGCTTTTGCTCCTAGTATTTTATTTACTACAGCAATGAAGAAGCCAACTGGGACAGCCTATGCTGGCTGGAACTTGACATCCAACCCAGGATAAGCTGAAGTCTGGGCCTCCCTGCCGCAGTGTCCCCAATGGTAGGATCACAGCTGCCTTGTGTGTGGCCTAGGTTACTTTTCCGTGCGTATTCCCATGAGATAATTCCAACGAGAAATGAAGAGTGTTGGAACAGTTTGTTATTAAAGCAGCAGCCTGTGGCAGAACAACAGGATCTGCTGCCGTGGCTTTGCTGGCTGCTTTGCGAAAGAGAGCCATCTTTATGAGAGCCGTCACTGCTGCTGTACTCTGAGGTGATGTGACTGCTGCATCACATTTCCCTCATCCCGGACTGGTTTTGGAGGTGGTGGTGCGTTACTGCTAGCAGGGTGATACCAGGAGTCACACCCTGGATCTCTCACATGCCTACTAAGCTACAAGCACGCCTACTAAGCTTTATGCCCCGCCCTGTAAATGTTCTAGAAAATAAGATTCCAACTTACATACTTTTATTAAAAGTAAATTTATCACATAAGCAAAACCATTTAACTACCTCCTGTGTGATGAAGTCAACAGACTTCTGACTGTGCAGAAAGTAACTCATACTAGGGTGTCAGCAGTGTGAACAATGCCAGACACAGGTCAAGTCTGTGATCAGCCATCAGTAAGCCAGGCCAAATGTGCAAATCTCGGGAGAACTTCTGCAAGAACAGCTGCCGTGCAGTTAGCACACGAGATTAAGTGTGGCCTGTCTGCAGACGTGGGTCTGTTTGTGAGCAGGCTCTGCTGGACCAACAGTCCACGTTCATACATCCCATCCTCAATACACCCTGTCGGGCCTCTGTAGCATGCTGGCCAAGAACTTGCTATATACACCAGACTGGCATCAAGCTCACAGAGAATAGCCTGCTTCAGACTCCTGAGTGCTGGGATTAAGAGTGTGTGCCATTACCGCTAACAGACCTCAACTTGTGTAAACCTCTCAAACCTGTCTAAATACTACTATTCTTTCCCTAAATAAATAGTTCCCAAATGCCAGTCTAATATTCAAGAGATTCCTGATATAAAATTTATTACTGTCTGTAGAGGTTTTAGAATTTCACTAATGGTCCTCTATCATTTTAGCAGATTTATATTAAATTCATGTTACATAGAATATTAGAAAATCAAAGTCTTCAAAGCTTTCCTTAAACTGCTTAATTTTTGTTTACTATGTCTCAGCTCTTATAGTACAAGCATGAGGTTCTGAGTTCAAAACCCTAATACAAAACCCTAATACCCATCAAGGCCAGGTTGCCCACGCACATGTCTGTAAACCCAGTGCTCTCTGAGGATTGTTGGCCACCAGCATAACTCACAGTTCAGTGAGATCCAGTCTTAAAGAACTAAGGGGAAGCACGGTACAAGATCCCTGAGGGCCTCCTCTACAGCCCCACGTAAACACAAAAAAAGCATGTGTACACGGGCACTCGGGTACACACATACATAAAGGTGCTCATGCACATGAACATGCAGACACAAACACATGCACACAGGCACGCACACACATTCAAGCACACACACGAAAATAAAAACAAAAATTACTCATGGGCAATGAAAGTAGTGTAGGTGAACCTGGTGGGACATACTTACAAACCTATCTAAGTGTGGCCAGAGCTGGGGAACCACAATGAGTTCAAGGCCACCATAAACTATGTCAAGTCTATTTTTTTGTTTTCAAATACACTATTATAAAAACTTTAAATGTTAACATGTGTGCTCAAGAACAGATACACATATATATGTCTTTATCAACTTACATATTATAGTCTCATGAACATTCTGGCCCAGAATGGCAATCACACTTACTTGACATTTTTTTTTTTAATACCTTACCGGTTGATGGTGAAATACAGTAGTCATCCTCCACAGACTGGCTGTACAAATCATCATCTTCAAAATCTAAAACACAAAACAGGTTCATTTACAAGTTAAATCGGTCTTCTTACTAATGAGGAAACGTCTGAACTATCTACAGAGTAAGTTATAATATCAACTTTCAATTTCTTGTCTTCAAAGTACAAAACATGAGAAATTACTACAGCTCCTTCCTGGCAACACTTAGTTGAGCTAAGTACCTGCCAAACATGTACACTAAACTAATGTATCTATAAGTTAACACATCAAACTGTTTAAAATCCTGCAAGGAACATAAATAAATAAATAAATAAACATTATAAATAAAGTTATACCATAAATAAAGTTATACCAGAGACATTTCAGTACAAAGTGTGTGGACATCCGCAGCTTTCTCAATCCCAGAGAGCTACCGAACCAGAAAAGGCTGACCACAAAACTGTATGAATGTTCAGCATGGAAACAGAGCGGTCTGGGAGCCCATATGAACACAACTCAATTTCCCAGGAACAGACCATTCAAATCAACTCTAAAGGACGGAGTTGGCCAGCTCCCTAGGGCATTCACACAGCAGGAATAGCATGCTTAAAGGCTAAGACCAAATCCTGTGCCAAAGAAAATTTGTATGACTGCTATTAATGAATAAAAATATGTGAATCAATGAAATCAAACTGTTATCCCAAATTTAAAAATGATATTCACAGACATAAATATATATATATACACAAACACACACACGTTATCTTTAGATATTACCAATCACTTTTACTAATTCAGCTGACCTAAAGTGCTACAATACAAAAATATGAAGAGAATTCTTCCCTGCAATCTTCCTAAAGTGGCTCATTTATTCAACAAAATATTGGAGTGATTTACTACACACAAGGTATCACACTACACCTAAAATTAAAGTAAGGCTTTGAAACCAGTGGAGACAGGCTGCAGATGAAGCTCAGTTTCTTGCCCATTATGCACAAAGGTCACCCAGCCCTTGGGAAACAGATTCAGAGGCAGGAGGATTAGTGGTTCATCATTCTTGGCTATACAGTGAATACAACTCCAGCAGGGACTACATGAAACTGCCTTAAACAAACAAACAAACAAACAAAACTAGTACTTGAGGCAGTCACGAACAGCACTCGAAATTACACAGAAAAATAAAACAGGTGTTAGACCAAAGAATCACCAGGTTTTAGATCACAGACTATAATGAGAATACTTTTGTGATTTTTTACTTATTGAAAGTCCAAAGGGAATCCTAAGTGGGAAGAGGAAAACTACACATTGAAAATGAACTAAACTTTTCTAAGCAGGAAAGGAAAAACATTCCAGGACAGGACAGCCTGGTTATGATGTCACCAATTGTTACAAAGAAATATAACCTGCCCTCAAGTAGCCAGGGCAGGAAGGTATCTAGTACTCTCGTAGGACAGGGCAGTTCTCCTCAAATAATGCACACAGGAATCCTGATCTTTCTGATTTTACATAGCTCCCACAGCACTGTCATTACGCCACATGGAATCTCTCATGCTTTAACCACCTGTCACTTTTAAACAGCCCTCATGAGTGGTTTTAAGTACTCAGTGGTTTTAAGTTTTAAGTGGTGTCATGTCACTGCATGAGGAAATAAATTTCTACAGAAATGAGTGTCCTTTATTTCATATCTACAAAACCTCTCCCAATCTAAAGTAATTTCTCAGTGGTAGTGGTCCGAAAGGCATCTTGTACAGCTAGTACAATAGTCTCTCCATGAATGTCTGCCAAGTAAGACATTCCAGATCAACTGGGTCAAAGTCTCCAAAGAGATGCTGCCCAACCCTGCTGAGTACAGGGAAGCTCCCAATCTCGCAGGGGAGTCAATTAACAACCGACTTCTTAAATAATACACGTTCTCCGTTTTAAAAAGCAGTAGGTGTCCTTTCCAACAGTTCACGTGTGTTTTAGTTTCTATGAAGCTTGATGATGCTTATTACATCCATTCATTTTGTGACATACTCTTCCTAAAACTGCTTTACCTTAACCCTAGAGAATATTCACAAGCATATTTTTTTTATTAAAAACAAAATCAGTGAGTCCTTTTCTATGACCTCCCCGCCAGTGTTTCTTTTCATTTCCCTTTTAAAAAAAACATTTACAATAAGTATTGTAAGTCGGTAAGTGAGTAGACACTTGAGCCATTTCAACCTAAATCCTTCCTGTTCCTTACATCCCCGATTTTGAAATTCGTTGAAAATTCGGGTCAGGATAGGTTCCGCAGTCAAAAGGCACGGACACGAGCAAAACATTAAATAAATCTGACAGTTAAAGCAGACCCACGCTAAGCCAGCCTGTTTTATAAACCAGTAACGCCTCATGGACATGTCTGAAGGAGGGCTTACGAGGCAGAGGTCACAAACCGGCTCCCGAGTCCCAAATAAGACAACGAGAGAAGAGGTAGCGCTTAGGTACCGCACAGCATCGGATCCCAACCTCGCCACACATCCCTAGGCCTTGAGATGCTACACTCCCGGGCCGTCCGCAAACGAGCTCAAGCCAAGAGGCCGAAATCACTCAAGCTGCCTTCCCTGGGGCTCTGATGTCCGGCTCGTTTCCCCACCGTCTCCCTCCCCGCCACAGACCCGGGTCCGCGCGGATCCAGGAGGACGTAGAGCGGCCCGGCCGGGACGCCAGCTGGGAGAGCTAAGATGACGGCCCGGTGCGGCCCTGCCACCCACCTTCGTTGTAGTTATAGCCCCGGACGTTCCGATGCCGGGCCATCGCGCACACAGGGCGTCTGTCACCGTCCCTTCCAAGTAACTCGGCTCAGACACCGACGGGGCACCCACCGCGGCCCGGACACCTCTTCCGCGCCATCTTGGCTTCCGCCAGGGCTCGCCGCCGCGTGTCTGCGCATGCGCGACGTCGTACCCGCGCACGACGTGACGGCAAGCTCTCAGGGTCATAGCCGGCCCTCCGGAGACGCATGCGCACTCGCGAGCCCCGTGGAGCAAGGTCCCGCCCATAAGCAAATTGAGTGACGTGGACTTCAATGCCGGAAGTTCAGCAACCTCCACGCCGCTGAGCAGCGATCTTTCGCCTACACCGGCATTCAGGATTATTTTCCAGAATTGCTTTTTGGTTTTTTTGGTCGTCTGAAAAGCTGCCTCTTTCGCTCAATGGAAACAAGGACTTTGTTTCAGCTTTTAAGCTTTAGGTAAACATGATGGGTAGCCAACAAACGTGTGTAAATGTGGCATAATAATTAGTGTAAGCTTTAGAGGGAGGAAGACTTTGAGCAAGTGTTTTAAGTGTAGAATGTAGCAACAGTGGGTGCTGTGCTTTGCGTGTAGTTCATGGCTTCAGGAATGGGTTCTGTCCTCCCTCAACAGCCCTGGTAAACACTGACCTTAGCTTTGTAAACTGTTTGCATTAATATGGATTCAAAAGGATGCTTCAGGCATTGATTAAATACATAAACACGTGAACTTGCTTAGGGTGTTTAATACAGCTGTTTAGACCCAGAACTAGCCTTGTCTCCTCATTTCGTACAACACAAGGCTAATACTGCTGTGTAAAAACATCAACCTCATTATACTGAGCAAACTGCCTTGTTGTAGCTTGTTTTTGCAATGCCAAGACCTTGTATCAAAGGCAAATGTCAAATTCTACCTTACTCAGCTTTTCTTATCTACAATAATGAGAATAACACAAAGTTCATATTTGTAAATGGTTCAGATTTGATTTCTGACTACCAAATGGTTGCTCTTAACTGTCGCTGTTAATATGGCTCCAAGACAAAATTTCATGCAAATAAAATGAAGATGCTAATTTTATGGGGTTTTTCTGTGTCTTATTTTACAACTTTAAATAATTTCTATGTTGCAACCTATGTCTTTGCAAGTGAAGATATTATCTTACTAATACATTACCTAACTTATAACATTGTAAATAATATTTGCCCATGTAAGAGAACTTAGCACAGAACATTAAAGTGCTAAAAAATATTAAATGTGCTGGGCATGGTGGCTCACTCCTTTAATCTTAGAACTTGACAGGTAGAGACAGTAGGATCAGGAGTTCAAGGTGATTATCCAATACACAGGGAGTTCAGGCCAGCCAGCGCTATCTGAGATCCTGTCTCAAAAAACATATATATAAAACTTAAAAACAAAAGATTCCCACTGCAATCGTCAATGCGTTAATTACAACTCCCTGCAGCAGCTCTTGAAGTAAATGAGTTGTAAATTGACCACGCAAATTGTACGATGAATAAGAAAACAATCCTGCCTAAGAGAGATGATAACGTAATTTAGCTCTGTGAACTAGTAATTCACTTTATACTGATTCAGGAAAAATATAAAGGAAAATATCATACTGCTTACGCTTGTTAGTTTCATTGTCACGTGGAGGGAAATTGCTTCTTCCGGTTGCCCTTTGTGGCACTGTCCTGAGTGATGACTGAAGGGGGAGGTTCCAATCTACTGCCTGAAGGCATCCTCTCCAAGTAGCTGGACCTAGCTGAATAAGAAAGCTAGCTGAGCCTGAGCCACAGTGAGCCAGTAAGCAGTTTTCTTCTTCGACTTCAGCTCCTGCTGACTTCCCTTATTTAGGAGTATGAACCACGTAAACCCTTTCCTCCCCCAAGTTGCTTTTGGTCAGTCTTAGCACAGTTAAAAGATGGGTTTGTGTGTCAACTTAATACTAGCTAGAGTCATCAGAGAGGGAGGAGCCTCAGTTGCAGAAATGCCTCCAGGAGATCCAGCTGTAAGGCATTTTCTCAATTAGTGATCAGTAGGGAAGGGTCCACCCATTAGAGGTGGTGCCATCCCTAGGCTGATGGTCCTGGGTTCTACAGGAAAGCAGGCTGAGCAAGCCAGTAAGCACCCCTCCATGGCCTCTGCATCAGCTCCTGCCTCCAGAATCCTGCCCTACTTGGGTTCCTATCCTGACTTTCTTTCGGTGATGAACAGCAATGTGGAAATGTAAGCTGAATAAACCCTTTCTACCCAACTTGCTTTTCGGTCATGGTGTTTTGCTGCAGCAATAGAAACCCTAACTAAGACACAGCAGAAGAATGAAGGCAAAAAAAAAAAAAAAAAAAAAAAAAAAAAAAAAAAAAAAGAATGAAGGCAGAATGCTGTATGTTGATAGTGCTATTGGAGTAACTTTGAAAGCAATCAACAGTACATACTTAAGATCTATTAATTTGAAATGTTTACACAAAAATAAATGCCAGCAAAACCATTAATCCAATCAAGACAATGAACGTATGCAGACTCTCAAGCATTTATATACAGAATGTAAAAATCTGAAAGTGTCCAGGGCTCCTTCTGCCCTCCATAGCTCCCTAACATGGCGTTTGGCAGCAACTGGTCAGCTTTCTGTCGCTAAGAAACCATTTGTATTTTAGAAATTTTTGTGTTGATGAAATCTCTCTATGTGCTCCTTCACTATTCAACTTAACTATTTTGAGATTCAGTCACATAGATACTAAAGAAAGAACTCCACTGTATGGAAATGTAGGAGAAAATGCAGGCACGGCCTGGCAACCAGCCCACGTGACACACTGCACTTCTAAATAAGAGGTATGCTATGCCCAACACCAGAGCACTGAATTCTGAAAGGGTGCGAGTAGCGGGTTGCTGGTCTGTGAAGAATCTGCATCTCCACGGTTCCTTTAATGTGCTGCTTCTGCATGTGAGTGCTCACTATCCAATCTGAGGTAATGTGCTCACCATCACGGTCCATAGCTTCCACTATATACGTGGTTGCTCACACGATGTAAAGCAGATGCTGTACCCTGAAACTGTCTCCGGAGTGATTTATCTCCATGCCCTTTACCAGTCACGGGCATTGCTGTCTTCTTCAGGGATCCCCGGTAATGATGCATGGAAATACCACAGTTTGTATTACTTTCATTAATCAATTGATACCTACTTTGGTTGTTTCCAGTGTTAACTACTGCAAAAAAAAAAAAAAAAAAGGCTGCTATGAATATTCTTTACAAACACTTGGCATGAAAATAATGTCTATATTTCCTGGATAAATAGCTAGGCACAGAATGGTTAACTGATGTGGTTATCATTTACCTTTCCAAAAAGAAAATAATGAATGCCACTGCTAAGGGTAGAGATCAGTGGTAGAGCAATTGCCTCATATACACAAAACCACAATTACCATTCCCAGCACCATAAAAGGGGAAAAAACGGAAAATACCCAACAGTTTCCAAAAGTGGTTGGACAATTTTACACATCCCTGAGCAATGGATTCTTTCACAGCCTTCCAAAACTCCGCACCATTTGAAGACATTTGATATTCTGATGAGCTCTTCCATGAAGTGTCTGTTTGACTCTTTCACTGGTTGATAATGAAGTGTTTGTCTTTTTATTTCTGAGCCTGGAGAATATTTTTTATATCCTGAATATAATTCCTTTATCAGCTGTATGATTTGGCATTATTTCTCCCAGCGTGTGACTTGTTGTTTTATTTCTTCTTGTATGTGGGAGACGGAACTTGGGACCTTGAGGGTGCTACGTGGGCACTGAGCTGCATCCCCAACAATTTTCATTCTTTAAATAGTGTCCTGAAAAGAATTGTTTGGGATAAAGTCCCATTTATTCATTTTTGTGCTTCATTGATTTTGCTATTAATTTTCCATCTAAGAAATCTTCACCAGCATAAAGGCCATGCAAATTTTCCCCTGTTTTTATGGTTTACATTTAGGTTTACGATGTATTTTCAATTGAGGTTGTGTATGTTGAAGGCTTGGAGCACAGTCTATTTCTTGAAAAATGGCTGTTTATTGCTTCAGCACCATTTGTTGAATGAATTCCCCACTGAATCCCATCTTCATCTTCATCAGTGAAGTGGTTCTTTCTGTGTGTGTGTCATTCTTGAATCAGCAGAAATACCGTACCTTAATAAATCTTGAAAGAAGTTTTTTTTTTTTTCTTTCTCTTTATTTTAGATAACACCACACTGTATAACACAGGCTGGCCTTGAACTCACGGAGATTCGCATGTCTCTGCCTCCCTGAGTGCTGGTGTTAAGGTGTGAGCCATTACAAACAACTAAAATATTCCAACATAGGTGGACTTTCTCAAAATTCTCTTAGCTTTGTTAGACCTTTATTATTTCCAAATATGCCACATTAGCATAAAAATAGCATTCTGAGGTACCAAGATAAACACAAGGAAAGAAGTAAGAGATTGACACTAAAGCTAGGAAGCATTACTGAAAAAGCTAAAGTCAAAAGCTAAGGACTGACTGGAAAGGTGGCTCTGGTTCAAGAGCACTTGCTGTTCTTCTCAGGACCGAGTGGGTTTCCCAGCACCCATGTTGTATGGCTCCCACCCTTCTGTAACCCCAGTTCACAGGATCCCATCTTTTCACCAGGCCTTTCCAAACAGCCAAAGACACACACACACACACACACACACATAAAGTTAGTGATATTGGTGATGGTGATGATAAATAAATGAAAAAAAAAATGGACCATGTTGATGACTTCAAAGTATTACTTTGTTAAATGAGAGAATGTTAGTTCCCCCAAATTGGTCTCTATTCGGGTGTTATCCCAATCAAAATCCCAGCAGGTTTTCGGTGGACATTGCTAATCTAATTCTGCTCCTGCTTATTTGTTTCAGTGTAAGAGACTGAACAGAGGGTACTGTGCATTTTAGGTTAAGTACTCTACCACTAAGCTTCATCCCCAGGTTAACAATCAGATTCTGTAACTTAAATTTTGAAATCTAAATGTAATTTAGGGGGCTGGGAAGATGACACAATGAGAACCCACGTAAAAATCCAGGTAGGAATTGCAGTGTGCACCTGCAGTTTCAGTGCTGAGCAGGTGCTGAGAGGGGCATCGCAGGAGCTCCCTGGTGAGCCAGCCCAGTGG